GCCACTGGTTGCATTTTGGTTGCCACTGGTTGCATTTTGGTTGCCAATTGGTTGCATTTTGGTTGCCACTGGTTGCATCTCGGTTGCCACTGGTTGCATTTGGGTTGCATTTTTGGTTGCCACTGGTTGCATTTTGGTCGCCACTGGTTGCATTTTGGTTGTGGCTGGTTGCATCCTGGTTGTCAATTTTTTGGTTGGCTTGGTTGCATTTTGGTTGCCTTTGGTCGCATTTTGTCGCCATTGGGTTGCCATTAATTAGTCTTTAATATTAGTCACTTCCCACACACGACACTGTCGGTCCACCTGCCCACAAATTTGACAGTGGCGCGCGCCCGGCGCGCCTTCGGCGCGCGCCGGGCGCGCCCCTACGAATGCATTTGAATTATCGGGCACGCGCCGGGCGCGCGCCATGGCGCGCCTACGACGAATACATTTTTCAATTGCCGGGCGCGCGCCGGGCGCGCGCCTACATTTTTCAATGGCGTGCGCCGGGCGCGACTTAGCTTTAATATAATAGTTTTATTATTTTTTATAATTGTATTCGTCGTCGCAGGCGCGCGCCGGCAATATAATCTCTCGCCGCTGCTGCGTCTTAGGCTCAGGCAGCATCGGCGGGCTTTAAACCATAATAATGGAGTCGTTGAATCAATTGGAACGTGCTGCGACTCTGACTGCATTAGCCCTCAATGCAGTGGTGGCTTGGGACGACGTTACTGACAATTTGGAGGACCAGCAGCTCCGCGCTGACTTGGGGATCACCGAGGGGCAAATTGACGAAATTTCGGCATTTTTGCGCGATTTCTTTGATCGGGTTACTGACTTTAAAAATGACCGCAAGGCAGAGGTGACAGCTGCCTTGGAAGTCTCGCCGGACCATGCCCCCACACAAGTCACTAACTTGGACAGGGCTTGGCAAGCCGTCCACGAACATCATCGGCGTCCGCCTGAAAGTCAATTGCTGGGACCGGGGGCCATGGCAGCTACCTCGACGATGTCACGACCTACTCCCCGCCGCCCTGGACCGGAGTCTACGGACTCGGCGGTCAGGGTTGCCAGGCTCAGGGGAGTCAACAATCATTGACGATTCAACGACGACCCAGGCTGCAGTAGGAATAGGCGCCGGGTATTAGACTGACTGAGTCTTGATAGTCTGACTCTGACCGACGACGAGTCGCCGCTCAGACAAAACGTCGTAGTCGCCGCCGCGTGCAATTTTTTTGACCGGCCGAGTCTCGTATCAGTCTGACTGCCGGCTGTCAGTCCAGGAACGCCGTCATCTGCAGTCTGCAGGCTCAAGCACCGGGGGCTTCGCGATTGTCGTCGTCGTCGTCGTCGACCGCCGAGGCGCGACGGGTGTGGGTGGGCGCGTGGGTCGGGTTCGTCATCGTCGTCGTCGTGTCGTCGCCGCCGCGCGGGTGTTTCAGACCACTGACCTGGGTCTATGGACCCGGGCGTCGTCGAGTAACCTGACGGTCTAAGGACCCGGCCATGTGTCTACGGACGCGACGACGGTACCTGGTCGTCTACGGACCCAGCTGTCGTCTAACTATAAAGCCGGGTGTCTACGGACACGCGGTCCATATCAGGTCTACGGACCCAGCTGTCTAACTATAAACCCGGGTGTCTACGGACACGCGGTCCATATCGTCTACGGACCCGGCGGGTTAAAAGTTATTTATCGTCGTCGTCGACTCGACTGTCAGACTAGTCTGTCATTTTTATTTTTCCGGCATCGTCCTGTCAGGTCATGCCGACTCACGACCGCCATCGTCGTCGCCGACGACGAGATGATGACGATGATGACGACGATGGCCACCGAGAACGACGCAGCCGAGACCGCCGCCGCGGAGACCACGACCGCCGACGGCGTCGTGGCCAGGATGACGACATCGACGAGGTCCTGGACGACGACAAGCCGACGTTGACACCTGCAGCACCGGGACCGTCCACGACCGAGGCTCCCGTCACCGCCGCCCACACTGCAGGGCTGCACGCCGACCCACGCCGCCGCAGCCGCGCTAACTTGCCAGGGCCGAAACGACGCGCCGAAGTCGTTTCGTCGTCGTCGTCGTCCGACGACGACGACGACGACAATGACGGCGACGACAATGACAAGATCGCCGACAAGGAGGAGGCGGTGGCTAAGGCTGACGCTGCTGCGGCGGGGGCGTCCAAGGACGCCGGCCCTGCTGCTGAGGCTGATGGCGGCGCTGGTGACGCGTCGTCCAAGGACGGCGGCGGACACCATCCCGCTGAGGCTGCCAAGTCAGAGCCGCCCGCCGCCGCTGACGCTTATGAGTGTCAAGTGTGTGGCCGACGAGTTGGGGGTGGTCAAGCCGGCCACTACCAACATGTCAGGTCGGCCTTTCACCTGACATGGCAGCTCTGGAACTCCGGCAAATTTGACAAATGGCAGCAAGCCAAGGCGAAAGGCCAGGAAATGTCGGCGGCACTGTGGAAGTCGAAGGACGCCATGTATCCTGGGCCCCAGAAACACGGCAAAGACGACGCCAAGAAGGCTAAGCGGCAGAAAGCCGACACCCCGCCGCCGCCTCCACGGGCTCAGGTGGACCGCTTCGATGACAAGGGCCCGGATCCAGACGGTGACAGTGAGGCCCTGCTATGTAAGATGTGGCTGGCAACAGTGAGGGCGCTTTCAAAATGACGACTGCCGCTCAGTCAGCCTGCGCCGGTTTTTAAAAGAGTCGTCGTGCGTTGTCAGAGCCGTCTTCGCGCCGGCAATCTTAGTATAATATAGTATATGCATGCATGAGTTCCGACCCGACATCGTCGTCGTCGTGTCGTCGAAATCCAGGATGACAATTTCACACAATTCAACGACGCGGCCGCCCCGGTTCAAAATTGGGCGCCCCGCCATGCTCGGTTTGACTCAGGCTCAGTCAGTCAGTGCTCAGCTTGGCAGTGCCGCCGTGTCGTCAAATCCTCGCCACTGTCATGCCTTTAAAACACGCCTTGCTTCTACATGAGAAATGGGCATTGAAAATTGCGGCCGGCGAGAAAGAGTGGGAGATCCGCAGCCGCCGAACAGCGCTCCGCGGCCGAATCGGCTTGGCTGTGACTGGCAAGCAGCATGTCATTGGCGAGGTCGACGTCGTTGACTGTGTGCCAGTGAGGCATTTAGAGATCGCCGAGCATTTTGACAAGCACCAGATTCCGACTACAGACTTGGCATCAGTCTTGAATTATAAGAAAATTTTTGCGTGGGTTCTGCGGAATCCACAGAAATACACGACTCCGGTCAAATATAATCACTGCCAGGGGGCAGTTGTTTGGCTTAAGCTAAGCAACGCGCTCACGACGACGACGGTGGAAAAGTCTAAGAAGCCTCGTGGTCGGAAACCCAACGCCCCGCCATCGTCATCAAAGCCACGTCGCCGGCGTTGCCGACCAAAGCATTGACAATGTGCCAGGACGATGAAATGGCGCGCCTCTATGCTTTTTTAATGCTGAGTTTTTAAATTGATTTGACCATTTAAGCTTGCGTGCAGTTACGACGTCTCGTCGTTTCCAGCCATTGTGGCTCAGCCCGCCGGACGACAATGACCGTCCCTAAGACATCCCGGCAGCTTCCGTCCTTACTGCCAAAGCGCCTCATCTCAGAGCATGTGAAGGTTTGTAAGAAGTCCCGGTGTAGGGTTTGTCAATGGCATGAGTTCGGCCAGAAGACGGCTCACAACCCGCCCAAGTGGCTGAAGCTGGGGATGAGCAAGAAACACGTTGGACTTGGTTGCACCGACTGCGCCCTTGCCAACTTGTCAGGCCCATGGGCAGAATTTCAGCAAAGCCCTGCCCGTCTGACGCAGCACGTCATTCGGCGACATGAATCGTCTCGCAGCCATGTCGCGGCAGCTCGGAAGCAAGTCAGCGGCCCTGACTTGGATGAACTTCGCGCCATGCTGAAACACATGCGGCAAGGCGGAAGTGCAAGGCAAGGCGGCGTGGCCTCAGACAAGAAGACCAAAATGCGCTTTGCCCTCAGTGAAGCCGTTTTGGCCAAGCACCGGAGTGATCTCATGCGAGCCCGAAGTATATGCCTTCTCAGGGACGAGCGGAAAGGCCGACTACTCTTGCGCTTCCGAGCTTGCTTGGACGACCTGACTGTTACGCAAGGCGTTCTCGGCCTTAAGGGGGTTGAGGGATCTGCGGATTCCATTGCGCAAGTGACTCTCAGGGCAGTGACTGACTTCTGCACTCCCTGTCGAGGCTTGCCGCGAGACTGCCACTCACCACAAATTGACGGGCCACAGGGTACGCCCTTGGCCTGTCATGTCAAGGACCACGTCCAGTTCCTGGTCACTGACGCCGCCCCCAACGAGCTCTTAAGTTCAGAACAGCTGCGGGGCCGCCGCAGGGGGGCTGCCGCTGCACACAGGGCGCCGGCAAGCGAATTTAAGAACGTCCGGGTAGTCGGCAGAGACGGTGCCCACGCAGCGACGCGAGTCTTGAAGAACCCTTTCACAAGTCACGCATTTATCAATGACATCATGGACGAGTTTGTCTCAGCCTCTGATTCCTTCAGTCAGAAAGTTCGAAATTCGTCATTATTCGCAATGTGGTGGAATGAAGAGGTTACGGGGCCAGGCTCAGATGATGACAATGATGAGGGCGGCGAGCCACGCCGCAAAAACTCGGCGAACCTGTCGGCGGCCAAGCGTCGGTTCGGCAGCCTGCTGAACCCGCTTAGTAAGTTATCGAAGAACCTCCAGGCTATGCTGAACACTTGCCAACGCATTGAAGCAGTGCGTGGTTCTGGCAGCTCCTGGGCGACCAGCATATTGAAGTCATTTACTGGCCGCAAAGCTTTGGCCATTGCAATGGCATCTGACGCTGCGGCAACAGTGATGGACTTTTGCCGGTTCATGGATACTGAGTCAGCTGATATAGCCCAAATCAATTACAGGGCGCAAAGCTTCCTCCTTGCTGGCCATGCGCTCTTCACTGAAAAGAAAGTCTTCAGCCTACCGACTTACACCAAGACTATGCTGGACCAGATTCAGGGCCAGCCACTCACAGTCATGAGCAGCGGCGATGCCCCTCGGCAAGTACAGGTGACGGAGCAGGACAAAGCAGCAGTCTTGAAGGTTTTCCAGGCAGGGCTTGACGAAAAATATATAATGACGATATTTTTCAAAAAATTATCCGGCGGCCCGGCCGGAAAGGAATGGATGCAAGCTGCGGAATCGACCTTAGCCGCGGAGTTTCCCGACTGGCACATCCTCAGTTGCTTCGATGTCTTTCACCTTGAAGAACGGCGAGCAAGCGCGCCACCGGATCACTTAGACGATTGCTTGGCGAAGCTTGCCAATTGCTTCAAGGTCCGACTCCCGGACCTCAAGAAGCAATACGCGGCGCTGCTACCAATTGCGACGCAGCTGTACAAGGTGGGCGAGCGCAGCAACCGTGCTGCATGGCAAGCTGCGCTGCAACAAGGGGGCCGGGCCCGTCGGACTCGTCATTGCGGAGCTCTGCTTGAGGCCTGGTACTTTTTTAGTAGGTTTGATATATTGATCTTAGTTAGGACCTGTCATATTTTGGACATGGCATGGAGGTTTTGTGTGGCTACTTGGCATGGACTCCTTCCACGTCGGGCGTGGAGCAGCTTTTCAGCAAAGTCAAGCGGAGCCCGGTCGAGCTGACGTCGTCAATGGAAGTGACGGACATGCGGCTTTGCGTCGTCATGGGCATGGGCGACTTGACTCAGCCGGAGGAGGACGAGATCCTGCAAAGCGGGCAGCGAATCTATACAGCGATGCTGAAGTCTCAGCTCAGCTATCGGAGAAAGCCCGGCAAGCGTCGTATAGACAAAGGTGTCCCAAAAGGGCAGACTCGTCGATCGACAGGGTCGCAGGCAGCCTGGCATCGAGCAAGGAAGGCGGCAGTGGCCAAGGCTGCTGAGGAGTTGAAAACGCCGCCGAGGAGGCCTCCGTTGGAGCTGCCAGAGTCTTTGGCCAAGGAAGAGTCTCGTCAGCGGGCTCTGGAGAAGAAAAGGAAGGCAGACGCATTGGGCGACGGGTATCTCTTACCGAAGGAAATTACGCCAGGCCTTGAAGCCTACGCAGCTAAAAAGCAAAAGCAGGACTTGGCCAATGACAAGTCTCGCGGAAACAAATTCCACGAGTATGAGGCAGTCAGGAAGACAAGTAGGCAAGCGCCGCACGAGACAGCCTTGAAAGACCTGCCTCGCCGGGTTTGGGTTCAAACTGGCGTGGAGTCCGCTGAGTCATGGACCAACCATTTGAGACGAATGGGGGGGTTCAGTGTCGTGGAGGACTGACTGCTGTTGTTGTTGTTGTCGTCGTCGTCGTCGAACGATTTGCCGCCGCCGCTTTTTTATTGACACGACGACGAAGGACTTGCGAGAGGGCGACCTTTACCTCGTCAATGACTTCACGGCTGTTCACAGGAAGGTGCGTGCCATGGCCGCGCTGAGAGGCGGGGTCATCCTGTCAGGAGGGGTGCTTGAAGGACGGCCTGGCGTCAAGGTCACCTTCAGTCGAGGCTTAGATTTGCCAGTGGCAGTCTATGTCACTGATGAGTTCAAGCGCGAGGAACCCGGTTTGACGCTGATTCTTCGACACGCTTGTTCCAATGGGTGGCAAGCTGTCGGGGCTGACGGGCTGAGAGGTCGGGGAAGGAAGCCATCTTTGATTCTGCGCGGCGCAAGCGAATCCGCTGAGGGGTTAGGCGGATTCAGGGGCGTGCTGTGTTTTGCTGGCAGCGCTTTTGTTGCTTGGCTGGCTACCAAAAGTCGTTTAAACAGTGGCACAATGCGCGTGAAAGCACGCGTGGAGTGAACAGACTTAGTTAGTTTAGGTCGCAACATCGCCAGGGGAAAAACTGCGGGCCGATAACATGAGATTTTTGGTCGTCGTCCGTCGACGACGACACTCAGTGCTTACTTGAAGTCGTCGCCGCGGTGCGCCTGGAGGCTCAATTGTGAGACGTCAGGGGCCCGTTGTCGCCATGCCGCCGGCGGGGTCGCCGAAGTAGAAGACCAGGAAGTTCGCCCTCAAAGCTGCCCGATCCGTGCCAGTGCAGACGTATGACATCAAGCAGCTTGTCGTCAAAGTGAATTCCATGGCTGCAACCTGGCGCCAGCGGCTGTCACCACATTCCACGCCGATGCCCAAGGATAGTTTTCGAGTCGCCAGCGACTGCACGGGTTATGGGTCCGAGCTCATCGCCCTCACGCTCTTGGGGCTGAGGCGCCGTGTCAAATGCGTCATGTCTTCGGACAGTGACGTCGACAAGACTGTCTTGCACGGGGCCGTGGCTCGTTCGTGTGGGATCTCGACCACGGGTGCCCGCCATTATACGGATGTCCTAGCCCGGGACGACTTGTCCGCCCCATCAGCTGATTTATATGTGGCCGGCTACCCATGCCCTTCATACTCACAACTGGGCAAGCAACTTGGTCCGAAAGACTGTCGAGGGTTAGTGACATTGAAGGGGCTACTATACATAGCAGCGCAACGTCCCAGAGTTGTGGTGTTGGAGCAAGTCGCTGCATTGATGACGCACCAGAAACATCGCAAAGTTTGGGAATTTATCTTGAAGACATTGAATGCCCTGAGTTACTACGTGCAGTATCGTGTCATGAGCCCAAAGGACTACGGGATTCCACAGAGCCGCGACAGACTCTATTTGTTTGCAGTCGTCCAGGAAAGTCTGGCGCAGGAGCTGACTCTTCCGGGCCCAAGGTTGACTGCCAGCGACCTCCACTGCTTCTTGGACAAAGACAAGGTTGGCAATGAAGTGCTGCAGCTTCCCAAATATGAGCGGCTTTTGGGTCGCGCGATGTGGTTGAAGGGCTACATCTTAGACGTAGCAGCCTCTGAGCGTTTCCAATGTGTTCTCACCAATGTTTCGCCATGCCTCACTAGGACAAGGCTGAAAGGCACAGTCATTGGCTTCTACATTCCAAAGCTCAAGAGGCGGCTGCTGACTTCTGAATGTGCCAGACTTCAAGGCTTGCCAGCCCAAATTTGGCGGAATATGGCCCAATCATGCCAGGAAGAGAGATTGGCGCCAACGGCAGCTGCAGCTGCCTTGGGAGACGCCATGGCGCTGAACTGCTTGATGACGGTCCTACGCCGGGCATTGGACGCGTCTGGCTTGGCCACACTGGGAAGTCGCAAAGACTACTGGCTCAATGTTCCAGCCGGTCGCAGCGCTGCTGAAATGAGTGACAAGCTATTTGCCATGTGTGTAGACACTTCTTAGTGTAGTCGTCATTCATTGTCATAGACATTGTCAAGCATATGTCTTGACATCATGAGATAAAGCGACCACTTAACGTCGCGGAAGCCAGCAACAAGTTAACGTCGCGTAACCGGTTAACGTCGCTCGCTCTCCCGGGTTTGGCCTGGGCACACGACGGGCCCGCGAGAAGGAAGTGAGTATTTCCCACTCCGGTCTCCCGGGTTTGGCCTAGGCCAGATCCGGGAGAGGGGAGTGTCAAATGTCCAGGGCGTACTAGGCCGTTGCGGGGCCCACCGCACCTCACCGGATTCCACCCCTATGCCCCGGGTCTGGCCTAGGTCAAACCCGGGAGTCGGTAGTGGGTAAATCTCACTGGCGTGTCCCGCCCACGTTGTCTAAATTTGATTGAATTTTTTGGACGTGAATCTGTCACACAGTGTCTGTGCAGGCTGGCTCCACTTGCAGGCTCAAGGCGCCGACGCCATTTTATTTATTTGATTGACATGTCGTCCACGACAACGACGACAATGACGACTACGCTCGCCATGGGGCATGACAAGACGACGACATGACCAATGAGGCGCGAGGACGAAGTCTGATCGAGTCTTCCGCTGTCTTAGTAGGCTTATGATAATTGATTGCCGCCGGCCGGACAGGACCTGCATGGAGGAGGACGGGCGCAGGCAGTGACGTCAGACTGTGACTGACTCTGGGCTCTGGCAGGGTATAATAATATGGCTGAGGCAGTCTGAGTCATTCAACACTCAGAAAGTTGTTCAGTCGTCGTCATCGTCGTCGTCGTGCGCAGGCTCAAACTCGGCGACGCGGCGGCGCTTGGCTTTGACAGGTGGGGGCGCGCGTCTCCGGTCGTCGACGATTTAATAACCTCAGACTCCTCAGCCAGCGGATCTATGGATCCAGTCAACGGACTTGTTTCTGGATCTACGGATCCCAGTCTACGGACTCAAAGTCTACGGACTCAAATGAGTCGTCGTCGTCTACGGACGGACGGCGATGGACCGTCGTCCGTCCCGCGTGTGAGTCTTTCAATATCGTCGTTGTCGCCCACGTCGTCGGTCATCATCGCGATTCTCCAGGCGCTGGCCATGGCGATGGACCTGGACCAGACGACGTCGTGAGTGAGGGCCATGGGACAAAGACAAGCACCGTGACCGCCGGGACCGGCAAGCATGGCATGATTGGCTAAATAATTTTATGGTATGTCAAGCAGACAGCCGGCGGCAAGTCTGGCTCAAATAATATCAATCAGTCAGTCTAGATCAAAGCGGCGGAGCGCAGCTGTCAATTTAATGGCGTCGTCTAATTTGCCACGACGACGACGACGCAGCAGTGGCGGAACCTCGACGGTGGGCTCAGCGCGCAGCAGTGGCAAAGGAAAGGCGACCCCGGCAATGACTGAGACAGCGGCGGCGAGGCCGTCGACAACACGCAGCAAAGGCGGCTGGAAGGGTGCAGTCGTTGACATCAGTGACGAGTCTGATGATGAGTCTAATCTGACGGCGTCTTCGTCGTCGACGGGATTCAAAAATCCTTTAAGACAGGCCAAGCATGACAAAGGAATTGGATGGTGTGAATGGTGCCGCGTCCCAGTTGCCGAAGGCGACGAGCAGCGGCACGGCAACGACGCCCGTCACATTGCCGTCGTCCTGAGCCACGGCGACGCCGGCCAAACACATGGCTGGCGTTGGTGCCAGGAGCAAGGGAGGCAGCTGGCCGAGGCCAAGGCTAAGGCCACTGCCTCAGCATCGTCGAGCGCAGGCGGCGGTGCGCCGCCGCCCAAAAGACGCCGACGGGCCAAGTCGCCGCCCCAGGCCTCTGGCGACAATTTGGCAGCCGCCGCAGCAGCGGCAGCCTCAGCCAAGACAATGCCACGATGCATACGGCGGGGCCACTCAAATTTTGTCGTCTTCGTCGTGTCTTGTCTCGTCGACGACACCGTCGTCGGCGGCACCGTGCCAGGCCCCGCGGCTGGCAATCAACTTAAACGCCGCCTGACAGCGTCGTCTGCGCGAAAAAGTCAGCCATGACGTTGAATCGTCGTCGTCGTCGTCGATCATCGTCGCAGGATCCTCGTCATGTCTTATTCCTTGCTGGCACTGGGCTCAAGTGCAATTTTGGGACCGCCTTCAAGTTGGCCTTCACCGACGACTCAGACTCCTTGGCGCGCGATGGCGCAGAACTTGGATCAGCTCCGGGCAAATTTGCAGAGGCTTGTCAGACACACTCAGTGGAATGCCCACTATGCTGTCGAATTGCGACTCAGGATCCACTGGGCCTGGCAGACCATCGACGCAGCTGACCAAGAGATGTGCCACGATCTCTTCCACGAAGCGCAAGTCTGGGTTCCGGAGCTAGCCCACGTCGGCTACATTGCGCCGGCTTTGATCCGGAACTTTATTCCAGGTATTGGTCTGGGCACCAATCTCGGAAAAGGCAGGGCCGGGTACTACATGGAGATTGCCGTGGGCCACGTTCTGTATGACGACCTGGCGACGGACACGACTCCGCGGGAAAGGCGAATTTTTTGGTGGTTCGTGAAGTGGTCCGACGACTGGCACTCGGTGCTCCAGGATGTGCAGCGGCTTCTGCCAAATTGGAACTGGAAGGCTATGACATCCATCCAGGACCTTGAACAGCTGCTGCTTGCAATTTAAACCTCGAGCGCCAGCGAAGGGCACGGAATAAATTGATGTTTCCCATCGTCTCTAAAAGGGAGGATGGTCATCGTCGTCGTTGTAATTGTCTGCAACTTAAGACCAGACCTTGACACTCAGCGCAAAGAAGTGAGCTCAATTTGTGCGGCTGGGGTTGAATAAAAATATTAGTCTGTCTATATAACTTAAATAGAGACGTCACATGGCCATGCTTGACACACAGCCATTTGTGACCGCGTTGCGCCATCATGTGTAAGGACCACCAACAACAATGATAATATTTCATGCAATCCAACCAAACAACATACAACCACGCAACAGAAATCAGTCCTTTAATAAAGTTAAGACATCATCATTCGTCGTCGACGAGTGATTATGACGGCGTTGTTGTCGCACTTCGTCTCGTCGGCGTTGTCGTCGACGCACTCGTCGCGACGAATCGTCATGGCCGTCGCCGCCCTCAGTTTTTTTGGCTCAGCCGACGTCGTCTTCGTCTCGACACCTGGTCCTGGCAGCGGCTGACGTGACAATGCCGCCTAAGAACGTGTCGGCTTGGCGGCTCAACAATGCCGAGAAGGCGGAAGTCCAAAGGCGGGTGAGCTTGGGAGAAGATGAACACGCCGTCAAAAGGGAGCTTCAAGAAAAGAAGGCCCAGGCCAACGAAGACCGGAAGCGAGCGGCTGGTGCCATTGCTGATGCTGCGGCGCCTAAGCCGGCAGCGAAGCGTGCCAAGACTACGACTGATGGTGACCCAGTCTCTCCACCGCTTCCGGGCGACCACAGCGATCCAACGAACAGCGCTTACTACAAGGAAGTCCAGTCAGACATTCGCCGAATTTTGGCTCAGTTTCCTGGCATGGAGTCGGCAAGCCCATTGCCATTGACAAATGACGCCGGAACTGGGGTGCAGGAGCCTTTCGACAAGTCAAAAGGTGAGGCAGCGCTTTTGACCCACGAGGTCTACCGCTGCTCAATCCCTGTGTGGTGGCTCAGCCTTCTCAGCTCTCCCACGCCAGGTGTTCCTTTAAGCAGAAAGAGAACCAATGACATGGCCGAATTTTACTATCCAGACGGGAAGCCATCCTTCATGACAAGTCAGACTGTGGAGGTCCAAATTACAAACCCGGGGCTGTCAGCGACGCCAAGCAGTCTCCAGATGGTGAGCCCTGAGGAGATTGTGCATGCGCTGCTCGCTGGCTGCAGGCGCTGCATCGAGCTGCTGGGCTCTAATTTTCGTCGGCGAGTTGAAGTTCGATGGTTTTTAATTGTCTGTGATCTAAGTAATTATGTATATATAATATATATAATATCATAATCGTATAGCAGTCTAACTTAGTCAGTCACTTATTTGTCAGGTCTGACCAGTGGGCTGTCCACAAAGACACTTGGCAATCAGTGCTGCTGAGTGTGCCGTGCAGCTTCCTGGTGATGCCGCAGTCAGGTCTGAGAGTGGCGGCGTTCAACCGGAGACAGGCTGTGTTACAGCAGCACGAATCCATGGCCCGAACCGGTATGCAAACCACGATTGAGGTGACTCATCTGCGGTCCATGCTCGAAGCTGCGAACCCAGCGGCTCAGAAAATGAACCACGCCCAGGTGGCAAGCGAACTTACTGCAATGGGCTTGAAATCCGTTGTTGCCGGCCGAAAGGCATCGGCGGATGATGATGACAGCGGGTCGGTGACAGGCAACCTCATTGCCAATTGCCAGGCAGTCTCAAAGTCAGTGCTTGTCTCCTCAAGATGCGTGGAACTCCTGATGGCGTTTGAGCAAGACTGGGGGACTCGCTCCCCCTTCCACAAGCTCGCATCTTTGGCAGCGCTGGCCAAGAAGCCGTCCAGCGCCTTCTTTCGTGAGTGGGCCTTGGAATCTCTATACGACGCCGTCGCCAACAGACTCATCCACGTGCCAGACGTCTCAAAAGGGAGTCTTCTGGGTGACAAGCACCATTGTGGCCTACTGCCTCTGTATGAGACTAAGTGGAAGGCGTGGCAGTGGGGAATGCAAGTTAAATACGACTTTAAATTTAATCGTTGCATTTCCGACAGATATATAGTTTTCCAAATGTTTACCTGGTTTTCAACCATTTACCGCTACGCTGCAGGTTCTGACCCACTTCTTTGACGAGCTGCTGCCGAAGAGTGGCATGCAGTCGGATGACCGAGCGCTCCTGAAGGAAAAGCTCAGTGACCACAAGTCATTTAGAGAGTCGTCAGGGGACGGCGATGTCACCTGGATGAGCAGACTCAAGAAGAGCGGCCTGGGCGCCTTTGAGTTGATTCAGAGCCTTGTCTATGACAAGAAGTATGACAATCAGATGCGAATGGCCGCCAAGCAAGGCGGCTCTCCTGAACAGGTCATGGAGTTCAGTGACGTCGCTGATGCCTGGGCGGCGGTGAAAGCCCAACTTGCCAATGAAGAAATTGAGAGAAAAGCCGCAGAGAAACTCGAGGGTGCCGGCGGGGACGAGAACGACAATGAAGACGCAGAGTGTGTGGAGTCAATGAGGAAGGCGCCCAACAATTTTCCAATGAATTCAGGCCCATACTGGCGCGCCGTGGCAAATCAGACCCTGCGGACTTACATCACTTTGGCGGTCGAGCCAAAGACTCAGGACATGGTCACGACAGCTGTGGAAACCTGCCCGCTGAAGGACTTGAAAGCCGGCCCGGTGTTCACTCACCTTGACTTGGGCTTGCTTGGGGAATCGATGGGGCCTGACCAACAGCCGCGCTTGAGAAAGCGCTTCAACCCGGATGACAACCTGCTCAGAGAGCTGATTCATGGAGCCATGGTGGGCAGGGGCGGGCAGAAGAACTCTGCAGGCGAATGCACGGTTCCAGCTGAATCCGAAGTAGTGCTGCGCCACATAAGCTCAGATCGGTCCAAGATGGATTGCCGCTCAGTTTTCCGCCCGGAATCAGCCCGAAAGGACGCCAGTCCTGACGCTGAAGAGAAGGAAGTGATCGTCGCTTTCGACGACGAGTCGATGCGCCTGAGGAAGAAGCTGTCAAGGGGATGCTACTCGCTGCGGTCAACTCTCCTTTTCTACTCAAAGTCGCCGTTGATTCCAGATGTGGTGCCGGAGAAGCAGTATGACTCGTACGGTTCCTGGAACACTTCGGACATGGTGGGATTCGTCAAAGCGCTGGGGCCAAGCTCGCTGTGGCATGCAAGCCGAGAAGACAAGGTGGCCATCTTGAGCGACGCCCGGGCTGTCACGCCAACTGACGCAGCAACGGCAAAAAATGAGGCCGCCGACGATGGCAGCGTCATGTCGAGCCAGTCGGTGTTCAGCTGCCAGACCTTGCCGACCGACCTGTATCGGGAGGTCTTGAAGGCCCACTCCTGCAAGGGGGTCATCGACCTGTCGGCAGGGCAGGGACAGCTGGCTCGCGCCGCAATTTGCGATCGCCTTCCCTACTGGGGGCTGTGCCTTACCGAGGCCCACTGCAAGCAGCTGGAGGTGCAGCTCACGAAGTTCGTCTTCGACGAGATGAGGCGCGAGGGTTCGACGCACTATCGACCCGAGTGCTGCAGCGGCGGGGACGACGACCAGCAGAAGCCGCCGGCGCCCAAGCCAAAGCCCAAGCCGACCAACAGGCCGCGGAAGGAGGCTGGGGGCAGTGGCAAGGGGGAGGCGGACGACGACAAGAAGGTGCCGAAGCCTAAGTCGCAGTCTAAGGACACGACGACTGGCGGCAATGACAACCAGGGTGGCAAAGACGACGACGGCGACGGTGACGAAGGTCGAACTCGTTGCCATGGTAGGCGCGGCCTGACTGTCACTGACAGACAGTGACGCCGGGCAGTAAACCGCCGAAAGGCGTGTGCTCAGCCGAGTCACGCAGACAGCCTGACTGAAGTATAACCTTGCTCGGTATTTTGGGCGTGTCGTCGTGGCAGACGACTCCTCACCGCCGGACGATGCGCTGACTGAGCAAGCCGTCGATGACAAAAAATTAAATAACTAATTTAAAAATAATAATTTGAATTAAATTATTAAATTATTAAAATATTTTCGCCGTCGTCGTCGTCGACGATAATAACAATAATAATCTGACCTGCCCTGCCAGGATAATGAGACGAGTACTGTCCTGAGCCTGCATGAGAATGACAATGACTGAGCTGAGCGACTGACTGTCGGCGTCTACGGACAGTCATTCGCGCGCTGTCTAAGGACAGTCGCGCGGGTGACAGACAGTGACTGTCTACGGACAGTCAGTCACGACCGCCGAGTGACTGTCTACGGCGGACAGTCGCGCCTGACTGACTGACAGACTGACTCCGACTGACGAGTCAAGTGTCTACGGACCATGTCTGTCAGTCGCGACGCGAGTCGACTGTCTACGGACAGTCGCCGCAAGACTATTTATTTGACAAAGACCAAGACCGACGCCGCAATGAATTAGCTAAAAAGTCCCGCCGCCGCCGGCTGCAGCTCGTCGTCGTCGTCGTCGTCATCGTCGTCGTCGTCACGTCGTCGTCGTCGAGAGAGAGAGTCGTCGTCGTCGCGTCGTTGTCGTCGGTCCGGACCGTCGTCGTCGACGCTGGTCGTCGCGTGGCTCAGCCCAGCCATCCGCCGTCAGTCAGCCTCCCGGACCCAGTCATTCGTCTCACACATGGCGGCGGCCAGACCAGCGGCTGCTAAGTCTAAGTCGTCGTCCAAGCCGACTAATAAGCCGAAGAGGCCCAAGCCTAAGGCTAAGTCGGGGGGGAGCCGCCGCTCAGGACCCTCAGGGTGGGCCAGGTGGAGGCAGCGGACCTCGTCGACTGACACCGCTGCCCCCCCCAACAATGACGATGATGCGACTAAGCCCCCGGAGCCTGTCAGGCTCAGGTCAGAGTCAGTCGACGTCGCAGTCCAAACTGACTCGGCGGCAGCTTCTAAGTCGACGACGTCGACTAAATTTATTCAGACTGAGGGCGGAGTTTTCCCTGCCCCCTTCCCGTCAACTTGGCGCATTGAAGACTGGTTGGATGACCCCCCAGGCTGGCAGGCTGCGAGTGACCCGCCGACTAAATTGAGACCTTGTTTGCGCCGCTGAGTCGTCGTCGGAATAAAAGGAGCGGTCCGTATATTCGGAGACAGTGGCCGGGCGTGCGCCCGGCGCCTACGACGACGAATACGCACTTATTATTATTAAAATATTATTAAATTACAATAAATTTAATAAGCCTAGCGCGCCCGGCGCGCGCCCGGCGCGCGCCTAGACGAATACATTTTCAATTGCCGG